CGGAAGCAGCGCCATCGGCGGCCGCAGCGGAAGCGGCGCCATCGGCGGCCGCGGCGGAAGCAGCGCCATCGGCGGCGGCAGCGGAAGCAGCGGCGGCAGCAACGCCGGAATCGGCCGCGACTGCGGCGGCGGCTGCGGTGGATGGTTCGGCAGCAGGCTGTGAGGTCGGAGAGCTCTGTGCGTGGGGTATCTGAGCAGCGGATACTTCGGATTTGGGGGCGGCACATGGGGGTGGCTGCGCCAGCGGGCGCCGGTTTCGAACAGGCCATAGGCACCACGATCTGAGTGACCCGTGGGTCACGTGGGTCACAGTCACACCGAAAAGCAAGCAACTACCACGACCATATAAGTCTCCGGTGACGCAGCCCGCAACCTGTGCAACGATTGATTCCCGGTTCGAAGCACTGTTTTGAGCCTATAGGACGCAGGGTCGCCCTGCCAAAGCATGCCCTGGACCCCAACGTGCCTCGCTGTCCCGCCCTACCTGCCACCCACTCCACCCACTCGCCCCGCCAACACCCGCTGTTCAACCCACCTGCGGAGGCGGCCTGCAGCAGCTTGCGGTGTCCCACTTCCTGGGCTGTCACAGCAGCTGTATAGATGGCAGCGGCGGCGGGGAGGGGACGTAACAGGGGATGGGGGGGAGAGGACAAGAGTGGGCGGGTGGGCAGGATAGCAAGGAGGGTGGGGTGGACAGGGCAGGCGGCGCTACACGGAAATGTAACCAACAGCTGTCCGCAATCAGACAGCTGTGCCGTTATGACGGGCTCCCAAGTGAGGTCCTGACAGGGCGCAGGGCATACACATGACCCCGCCCACACGACCCCGTGCACCACTGCATGCGCGGGCCTCCGTGTATGTGCTGCGGCTCCGTGCCGGGCATGATTGTGTGGGGGGCGAAATTTGCCAAGACAAGATTACCATCAAGATCAAGATTAGGTCTTGATTGAATCTGAAGGACATCAAACATATTTATTGCGTACGACAGCACTGGAAGTGTGGGAAGCGCATACACTGCTGTACTCGATCATACATGTACTCACGGACACTCCCCGCAATAACCAGGAGGAGGAGCATTGGCAGCAGCAGCAGCGCCAGGGGCATGACGTGGGTGACGCGGGTGGGGCCATTACAATAACGGGCTGTGCGACCGTGTGTATCCATGACACCCCAGGGCGCGAGCGCTTTCACTGCGAGCCACAGCCCTCAGTCATAAACCCACGAACGCTAATTACTTCCTCTCCACTTCCAGATGCAACCGACTGGGGATGCGTAGCGTTTTAAAAATTTTTCCGGATATAATCAAGTTGGCAGAGGAGGGCAAAGGGGTTTTATATGGCTCTGGACCGAATTGCGTAGCCAGTTTAGGAAGGTGCGAACAGAAAAGGACAAGGGACAATGGACTGTCGAAGAAGATCATAGGTTCGATACCGGCAAGGATTCAGAGGTTCCGATTGCGAGAGCTCCTTTGGGGCGACGAACCTTCGTACGTTGGTTGCAATCACTGCCTCGGGCTCTGTGGCTCTCGATATCCTCCCCGATATGAGGACATACATCATCTTTGTACAACTGTACAACCCACATGTACCGCGGCGGGCACGGTATATACTCAATTAGGCGCCTTTGTAGGGTGAGGGCGTTGCTCGCTCGCTGAAACATTTTTTGTGCTAAATATTCAATTGACCATCAACTTGTTAAGGTCTTCATGGTGGACGTGTGAGGGGGGCGTGTGAGGGCTGCTGTGGCGGCAAGCTAGCAGTCAACAGAAGTGTGTAGTACTGAGGTGGGGTTGTGGCCTGGTCGGTTTGGGTCTAGCTACCTTGAGTGTCCTGCCTCGATCGGGGCGGGCGGGGGCCCCTGACGGGGGCCCCGGTGGCGGACAGGATGATGCAGTAAGGGGCGGTAGGGGCCAGGGGTTACTGGCAAGCTCAGGTGACAGGTGACAGGTACCTTGGAAGGAACACCGGGCTCCTCGCCCAGGGATGGTGGGTCGGTGGGTCGGTGCGTCGGTGAGTCATGCAACCTTGGAAGGATAACCCAATGAACCACGCGACGTTTGGGGGCACAATTCCAAGACAGATCAGCATTACTTTCTTCTCCATTCCCATCGTTCCCAAAGCAGCAGACGGGTAGCTGCTGAGCCAGCCATTCGGATATATAAACGCATTCCTATCGCTCCTACTGCCCACCCATCGCCGCCCGGCCCTTACCATGTCCCGCATGGCCTTCAGCGCCGCACTCTCTCCCCGCGCAGTTGGCTTGTCCAGAAGCTGCACCTGAAGGTCTGCGCACATCTTCTTGAGGCGCTGGTTTTCCGTGGCCAGCATGCGATTGGCATTCTTGCGGTCCTCAAGCATGTCCGTTAGCTCACGTGTCCGTGTAGAGGCGTGACAACAAGAGACAGCCAATTTGTTACCGTACAGCCTGCAGGGTGGGGCAACAGCGGCGACAGCCTGAGCCTGAGGTATAAAAAGGAGCTCACATACATGTCGGGATGTTGGTGCCGGTGCAGCTGCTTCCAGATACACAGCACTAGATGCACTGCAGGTGCGCAGCGAGGTCCCCTCTAGATTTGGGGATCCACATATGCACATAACAATTGCACGCCAGCCTGGAGTAGGGTCTGTATCTACAGCTAGATGCTGCCTCAGCGACCGGACTGCAGCACTACAGGAGAGAGGCACCGCATGGCAGGTGCATTATGGAGTGTTCCTTGGCGAACATAGATCATCAGAGTACTGTGACGGCAGCATGCACTGTGAGAAAGGAGCAACTATGTTTGAGGGCCCACAAGGCCCCCAGAGCCCCCAACTGTATTCCCTCTTCTTCCTGCTTCCTAGATGAGGTTTAGGAATAGTTGTATCAGCACATAAGATCATGTAGCCCCAAAATATGGGGGAAATCTATATGATAAATATAAGACTAACCCTGACTTGTGCCACCGGGGAGTCGAACCCCGTTCTTTTGCTTGGAAGGCAAATATCCTACCGGTGGACTAGTGGCACTATGCATGTTAGATAAATTTGCAATACGTTATAAATATAGAACCTTTAGCAACGTTGAGGACATGCATCTCTCTGGTCGCCGCTGCTGGATGGCATCTGAGTCCCAACAGGAGCAGCAGCAGCAGCAGCCCAGTCTCAGGGCAGACGTCGTCATCCTTAAGAGTTAGTGCCCACGTGGACTCTGTGACAGTAGGAGGTATTGCAGCAAGGCCCAGACCCCCAGGGGAATACCCCGGGGTAGGGCTGCAACCGCCCATGCATTGCATTGGGAATCCTGAGACAACAACACACACCTTGAACAGCAACACAGCCCACCCCGAAGCCTGCGAGAGTCTGCATGGGATGCCTCAGCAATCCATTACTTAAGTAGGAAGTAGCCTGTAGGCTCCCCCCAAGAAGCAACAGACACAACGGTTCACAAGAGAGGCGACCCTCAAGCCAACAGCAAGCTGCAGCTGCAAACAAGGACCCGCGCATCCCGAGGGCATTGTGAAAGGGCACTGTATAACCTCTGGCCCAGGCCCCTCAAGAGCCCCAAGAGCCCCCAAGAGCCTCCAAGAGTGCTAAGGGCCCCAAGGCCCCCAAGGCCCCCAAGGCCCCCAAGGCCCCCAAGGCCCCCAAGGCCCCTGAGGCCCCCGAGGCCCCCAAGGCCCCCAAGGCCCCCAAGGCGGGCCCAAGGGCCCCCAGGGCCCCAAGGGGGCCCAAGACGCCCCCGGGGCCCCCAAGGAAGCCCCAAAACCCCCCAAAGCCCCCCAAGGCCCCCAAAAGCCCCAAAGGCCCCAAAACCCCCAAGGGCCCCCAAGGGCCCCCAAGGGCCCTCACGGGCCCCAAGGGCACCGAAGGCCCCCAAGGGCCCACAAGGACCCTGTGGTCCCCAAAGGCCCCAAGAGCCCCCAGGTTCCCAGGGCCCCTGAGGCCCCAGGAGGGCCCCCAAGGGCACTAAGGGCCCCAGGAGGGCCTCCAGGCATCCAAGGGACCCCAAGGGACCCCAAGGCCCTCAAGGCCCCCAGGGGCCCCTGAGGGCACCAAGGGCACCAAGAGCCCCCAACGCTCCTGAGGGCCCATAGGGCCCTTGGGGACCCCAAGCCCCCAGGGACCCTGAGGGACCCAAGGGCCCCGAAAGCCCGCGAGGGCACCAAGGGCACCAAGGAGGGCCCCCAGGGCCCCCAAGGGCCCCCAAAGGCCCCAGGAACCCCAAGGCCCCCGAGGCCCCTGATTGCCCCAGTTCATGTCCACGACATATCTACATTTCTACTGAAGCCCGGCTTACACGCTTGTCCCTAGCCATTGCTTCTTCAAACACCTGATATTTAGGACACAAGAATGATGTTGAAACCGCTCCGTGGGTTCGCTCGCCATTACGCTAGTGGTAGACCAGAAGCGCAATCGTCATACAGGTCGCTTTAGGTGTGCAGACGTTCAAGGATATCCCTGTAAGCAGACAAACAAAAGCGATTATTGAATCAAACGTGGGAACAGCCTCCATGGTCCTCAGCTCTCGAAGGTATTCACCTCCCGCAGTAGCAGCAGCAGTAGCAGCACGAGGACTGCGGATTGGTGCCGGAAGTTAACGAGAAGCAAGCAGGAAGGCCGTGTGTGCGTGGGTGTGTTGGGACAAGTTGGTGCGTGATGTCAAGTACTGTGCCAATCCGTGCAACTATGCCTCGACGGTACGATGCAGTAGAGCAGACATGCATAGAATCATCCAATTACCCAGGAATTGGTTCATACAAAAACCACCCTTCACAAGTAGTACATTCAAAGATAGTCAGCCACAAGGCACATGGATTCCTTACCCCTAACTACCCTGACGGCCACGAATCATGTGAACATTGAAGGTAAAGAATTGTCCACGTATCATATGCCGGCCGAGGGCCACGACATTCATGGAAATGGAAATTTGTGCGCCACCGGGGAGTCGAACCCCGTTCTTTTGCTTGGAAGGCAAATATCCTACCGGTGGACTAGTGGCGCCGTACATGCCCCATCTAAAAATGCAAATATATATAATATATAATGAAGCAACGTATACCTACGTAAAGGACATGCATCTCTCTGGTCGCCACTGCTGGATGGCATCTGAGTCCCAACAGCAGCAGCAGCAGCCCAGTCTCAGGGCAGACGTCGTCATCCTTAAGAGTTAGTGCCCACGTGGACTCTGTGAAAGTAAGAGGTATTACAGCAAGGCCCAGACCCCCAGGGGAATACCCCGGGGTAGGGCTGCAACCGCCCATGCATTGAATTGGGAATCTTGAGACAACAACACACACCTTGAACAGCAACACAGCCCACAACGAAGCCTAAAAGACTCTGCATGAGATGCCTCAGCAGCCCAGAGGTAAAGAGGGAAGTAGCCTGTAGGGCCTCCTCCCCCAAGAAGCAGCTGAACACACCGGTTCACAAGAGAGGCAACAGCAAGCCAACAGCAAGCAGCAGCTGCAAACTAGGACCCCCGCATCCCGAGGGCACCGCGTCACCTATGGCTAACAGAGACCATCCAGGCGGGGCTCTGTGTAAGCACCAAACGATAATGGGGCATCATTAAGAGGGATATTGCCAGGCTTCTTTTGTCTAACCCATGCACCCGCTTCACGGCCGGTCGGTGTCTTGCAGAGAGCCCATACCCCTGCAGTGCACCTGCTGGAGGGAGCAGTTGAGGACCGTGAGCTGGTGAGGTATCGACTTGTTCCGCTGCGTGTGTAGCTGCTTGCGTGCGGGGTTGGCACAGCCGATGGATGACCTGCTGCTGGCAAAGTGTCTCGATAGGGGATTAGGCAGCCGTGATAGCTAACTAGCTGGGTGGGGGCTGCTGCCGCCCACAAGGGCAGCTAGGCAGGACAGGGCGGGGGGCCTGCCATGGAGAATAAACACAGGCATTTGAAATTCGTACCGGCGTGTTTGGTTTTGTTGCTCGCAACAAAAAAGATTGGGGAAAAACCTTTTTTCATCCAGTGCTTGTTTCAGCAACCCTTGTGGGCAGCTAGGCAGGACAGGGCGGGGGGCCTGCCAAGGAGAATAAACACAGGCATTTGAAATTCGTACCGGCGTGTTTGGTTTTGTTGCTCGCAACAAAAAAGATTGGGGAAAAACCTTTTTTCATCCAGTGCTTGTTTCAGCAACCCCTAAGCAACCGTTCCAGGTGCAGACATGAACATGAAAACATGAGTTGTGTGGCGCGCCCAGCAAGTTCGACCGTCGATCTTCTGCGGCAAAGGGAACTAAAATAACCATGAGGCCTTTTTGGATTACAAAACACTGTCTCTTTCACACGGAAGAGTGCCGCAGGAATGAGAGCCATACTCCACTGCACAAGGCCCTCAGAGAGACGGCCGTGATAACAGACCCCGTTCGCACCCAACCATTTCCACCCGCCTCAACCACGCCCCCATAAAAGCTCCGCATTTGTTTCACTCAATCGCTCCTTTCCTCACCATCCCGTTGCGTTCTTGCTTCATTCATTGGCATGGCGTGACAAAGAGCAGCGGCACATCGGAACGATTATGGTGTATGTGTGTGTATGTGTGTGTGTGTGTGTGCACCCAAGCTCACATCAAGTCGCATGCCATCATCACCATGTGTCGTGATGTATGTATCTACAGGTGCGCCCAGATCTCCGTGCCGTGCCGCGGGTCGTCTCTCTCTTTCTTCCCCTCTCTCTCTTCGCCTCTCTCTCTTCCCCTCTCTCTCTCTCCCTGTCTCTTTGTCTCTCGTGTCACAGCATCGAAGCATTATGCAGTTAGGTAGCAGCAGCAAAAGGCTTCTGGGCCGCGCAGCAGCAAAGTGGTGGCCGTGTTATTCCAGCAGCAGCCAAACGCCTGATGGACGAGGGGTGACACAAAGGGGGATGGGCGTCCTGGCGGGGGCTCGCGGGGGAACAAGGATCGACACACACACACACACACACACACACTGGAAACCGGGCTTGTAAGCAAGAGATCAACAAAACCAAGCCGAATGGGCTTTAAATCAACGAAGGGAGTTCAGAAAAGAGGTTGCAAGACACAGACACAGACATGGCGGGTTCATCATGGGGGCACAGGCAAGGCGGAAGAGTCCTTGATATGCCTTGACCCAGCATTCCCCACGCCCCCAGGACTGCACTGCAGCCCTTCAAGGCCCGGCGCCACCACCTCACATGTGCTGCTCTTCCGCCAGCTCCGCTCCCCGGAACATCATCATCAACCCCCTTTTACATCATTGCAGCACTACCACACCGCCTTCCCCCCCTCC